TACCGGACCGGACGGTACGTCCGTACTTACGTTTATTAGTAGTAGTATATATATATATATATATATATATAGTATGTAGTATAGTAGTATATAGTATATATATATATATATATATATATATATATATATATATATATCATTAAAGATTATAGTGATCTCATTAGCAAGAAAATGACTACAGCGCTACATAACAGTATAACAGTGAATATATAGGTATGAAGTGTTAGCGCTCACTATCATAATAACATCTCCATAATAGCCCAATGCTCGGCACGTATGCTGGCTCAAAGGAGGATCCCGTCGCATGCTGGCTCAAAGAAGGATCCCGTCGCATTCGCCTCACGAAATCCCGACGCGCCATTCTGATTGGTTGCAAAGATGCATTTAATAACTGCAGGCACGGTGATAAGCAATAATCTAGACGAAAATGCTCGCGTGCGTTTATACAGCACTATACTTAAAAACATGGTTAGGAGCGAATACTGCAGCGGGTGTCGGCTTTAGATACATTGACGCATGTATGGATGGCGGGTGTATGCATGCCGACACCTAGCCCGACCAGGCTGTGCGACGGATTGTCTATATTCTAACCCTAGCAATACCGTTTCTTGGAGCTAGCCGACACCGTGCTTTTACAAGTACTAATACACATGTACTGTACTAACATTTGTAACCATGCAACGATGTTTACACAAAGCTACATACTCAAGAGTTTGTTCCAATGAATGTCGTTTACCTTGCATACTGTGTTTTCGTATTGCCAAGCTATGTCCCCCTAACAGCAACTAATAAATAATAATAATAATAATAATCATAATCATAATCATAATCATAATAATAATAATAATATAGTCAACAAAAAACAGACACTGTACATTATTGTCGAACCAGTAATTCTGTGCTACGTCACATACACATAGATCAAAAGTTTCCTCTTTACATTAATAAGTTACCACGCATTTCAAACAATCATAATTACAAGAAAATTCCCCATTTAGGTTTAATAATAAATAATTTCCCCCAAGGACATTTCAAATCAGCAACGCAGCATGGCAATGCGCTACAGGAGCATGCATCGGCCAGTAAATGTCTAGTCGTTTAGTGGCGCCACCGCGCGGATATTTCAAGCGCACGAACTTCAACGCAGATTCGCATCTCAAGTTGTTCAGACCTGACTCCTAGCAGGCTAGCATGGTAAAGTCGCATACTTGCTATTTTAGCGTTATGATTACTACAGGGACATTAACAAGTAAATATATTGAGAGAGAAAACGGCGCTTCCCACCGAAAGCGTTTTACATGCCACTGTTCTGGCATTTAAACTGTGCTTTCAGGTATTCATAGATGGCGTTGGAACCCCGTCCACCGAGGAACTAACAACGTTTGCTTGGGAAGTTTAAAGCTTGCTACAGAGGTTTTTAAACTCGTGCCTACGCGCACACGATAGCCTTTAATGGGCTTTCTATGTATAACGACCTCGAATATACCCATATGCTGCTCTTATGGTTCATCTTCATGTACACATAGCTCCCGATTGCCCATTTCTGTCCCTCCAATGCTGTATCAGACTCCATCGTATTGGAGCCTGGCCCAGTCTCCGTCTCTCGTGCAGTGCGCATCTTCTCACTCGATGCACATCGGTGGGTTGACGAAGCCAAACATGTTGAACTCGATCATGACGGAGAAGGTGAGAAAGACGGCGTACACGAGCATGAAAATCACGCCGACCTTCTTGCTCAGCTCCCACCGATTCAGGTGTATGGTGAGTATCTGGTGAGGACGCGACAAGAGCAGCATGAACTAGCGACGCGGCGACTACGCAAAACCTATACACCCGTTATGCATGACACAACAACCTCCAAGACGTACATAGACGACAGAATAAAACACACACAGCCAACAGCATACAGCAACATACAACGCATACGCAGACACGGAGCAGCATACAGCAACATACAACGCATACACAGACACGGAGCAGCATACAGCAACATACAACGCATACACAGACACAGAGCAGCATACAGAAACATACAACGCATACAGCAACATACAACGCATACGCAGACACGGAGCAGCATACAGCAACATACCACGCATACGCAGACACGGAGCAGCATACAGCAACATACCACGCATACGCAGACACGGAGCAGCATACAGCAACATACAACGCATACGCAGACACGGAGCAGCATACAGCAACATACCACGCATACGCAGACACGGAGCAGCATACAGCAACATGCAACGCATACGTAGACACGGAGCAGCATACAGCAACATACAACGCATACGCAGACACGGAGCAGCATACAGCAACATGCAACGCATATACACAGACACGGAGCAGCATACAGCAACATACAACGCATACGCAGACACACAGCAGCATACAACTTAGAACATGCAATATAGGAACGTACACGAACATAAGCCGTCGCGAGGACGACAATACGGACACGGAACCCGCATCAGGTACGCATCATGGTACATCTCATGGTATTTATTCATCAACTATCGCTGTAGCAACGGGAAATATTGTTACTGTACACGCTAAATATCCGCAAAACAGCGATAAACAAATAGGATTATCAAGCTGCTCAGCGATGGAAATAAGATTAATCTGCGTATAATTAACGACTCTCATCAATAGCTAATGAAAGAAGAGGATTTTGAAAAAGCTCCTTTGGCCGTGAACTTGAAACGCTTTAAATGTCTTGGATAGAAAAATGTTTCCACAAACTGCCAGGCGCGACTTATTTTTAATGATGCTAAACAAGAGCACTCACTGAGAAATCGTAAAATTTTAAAGTACGAGTTGATGTTATAGCAAGAACATTTTCTACGCATGCATTCGAGCATCCTGCTTTTAAGAATTCAATTCAAAGAAAGCCAAACTAACCGTGAAGGCCACGGTTAGAAACAGCAGCATCACCGAGTAGATTAGTCCACGGCTGTTGATGTGTACCTGTAATTAGATAAATAACAATTAATTAACAATTAAACAATAAATAACGATATCCAAAGAGACCGACACAACGCAATAGCGCTGTGTCATCATCATCAACGTTCGATGGGACTACGTAGTTGCTTATGGCATTATAATTAATACTTATAATGACTACGTAATAATGAGATTATTTAGCGCAGGCGATAACAGGGCGTAGATAGTACTGTGGCGTCTCAGCAGACAATTTAATGGGCTTAATTGTGATCAATGTGGCTAATATATGTGGCCGCTTATTACCGTCTTCGTATGCAAGTAAGCACGCAAGCGCATGTGTTCACAGACGCGTGTGCGTGCGGGAGCGTCTACTTCTGTGGGCGTCTGTTCGCGAGCATAGAGTTCTCTCTTCACTTCTATGTTCGCGAGCGTGCACGCGCACATGCGTTTGTGTTTGTGTTTGTGTGCGTGTGCGTGTGCGTGCGTGCGTGCGTACGTGCGTGAGTGCGAGTGTGTGATGGGGAGGGGCGCAACAATGTGATCAACGATTTTTCGCCTTTGATGAGCAGACAATCGATATACGTACCAAGCTACCAGGCGAGATCAGGGCGGTCTGCATGAACCACGGAGTAGCCAGACCTATGAGAATGTCGAAGACATTGCTTCCAATGCTGTTCGATACCGCCATGTCCCCGAGACCTTCAAACACATTCACACACGTAAAATTACATACACGAATGGCACCTGCGCTATTGCACATTTGGCGTCTGTATAAACAAACAAAATGCGTCCACTCACGTTACGGTTCGGAGCAGCAGCACTCCGCTACATCTAGAATTCACGATTTCTAAAAACATCCCCGTATGGCTCTTAATGCGTTCTATAGTCATAAGAACGGTTTACAGTGATGGGTGGGAATGTGCGAGGGTGTGTGTTACATCCGCTGAGATTTCATGTTATATGTTACATTTTATGCATCATATCTCTTGCGGGTTGCTCAAACCGACTTGTTTGATACACAGCGAACCGAATGGTAATGGCGGGAGGGTATGGCGTTAAAAAGCGTGATAAAGACTGCTGCTAGCGCTGATCCATGATGCATGGAAAATATTGATGTTTGACCATGAGTAAGCGATGCAGCCACCGCAAGATTGAAACCTAGTTCCATTAGGTCAATAAATGGCAGTAAAGAGAAATTAGAATTTAAAACGCGGGACAGCAGCAGCATTTATGTAACGTGACATACAGGAAGTACAGATAAAATTACAAGACCTAGACGCATGGCAAGTGCATCGAATTTTGCAAGGAGAATAAGCGCCATGAATAAATAACTCTAAATAACTAGTTTACCTTCTTCATGAAACATGTCATGACTCTCTGATGTAATTTCTGCAAATGCATGTGATCTAACCTTAATAATTTAATGTATACGTCTCGTTGCACTTTATTAAAATGCTACCCACAATTCAAAATTAATGCCTTTGCAATTATTAATTGAATGAAACACTTTTATGTAAAAATTCACGGAAATGTAAAACACAGTTACCTAACTGAAAACGTGACCAGTGTTATGAACACGAGATAAAATGAGTTCGACGTATACGGCTGCAATCACATCAACTGTAATCGTGCCAGCCATGGAGAAATTTCCGAATGGAATCAAATAAATTCTACACGCGCTTTAAAATTCTTTCTTTTTTTTAAAATTCTATTAGCGTTATTAACAGGATTCGGGCCACCAATTGCACAGCCAAACACCACTTCTGTTTCCGCCGGACCGTTGGTTTCAATCTACGCGACAACAGGAGGAGCACTTGAGGGACGTCCTCACCGTTCCTTGCTACGATTAGACTAGCGATAGCGTCAGGTATGCTTGTGCCAGCTGCCAAGAACGTAATGCCCATTATGCTGTCGGGAACGCCCAGGGTAAATCCTATGAGCATCACCTAGGTATAAACAATAAAGGAATGCATCAGGATAGAATTGCCCGCGCATACGCTGTCGTTGACAATAACGCACCGGCCGTAAGCTGAGATGACAAAAGAACTTCGGTTTTTTTATTGGTCTATTGTCACGACTTTGCTCTCATTAAAACCGGCGGCACAATTAGGGGGTTGGAAACGAAGAAAAGCGAGCCTTTCTCAACGAAGCGACCACACCATGTTAAGGTAAAAATATCAATCAATATGTTATCTAACATTACAGATATATTGACTTGTCAACTCACCATCCACACCATAACGTATGAGAAGATGGCAATCCAAAAAATTGATAGCATAAACGTTGCAATGAACCACTTTTCCCAGCGTCGCTTTCTGCAGTCGGGCACAGTGATAAAGAGAATGGCCCGTAGAGGCCAACAGACGGCCCACTTTACCATCTCCACGGCGCCATCTTTGTTAAAATAAATAAAATAAAAACATAAATTGTAGTGCAGTCAGTTTTATGTGTTATAAGAATTATTAACCAAACCCTGACCCTACTCCGACAAAAGCAGTAAATTTGTTTATCTGCTTCGGAAAGTTCTTATACCGAATAGACTTATTTCGCTGTCTGCGCACCAGCCTTTAGGTGGGTAGGCCGGTGGGAAGATGCTACAATGTGGTAAGCACCCCTGCGACCCATCTGCTCTCGTGGTGAGGTGGTGAATAGAAGCGCCATCACGTGATACAGCAAGAATCTCAATGCGTGTTCGGGGCAAAGATCACTCGCCCTTCCTGTCCGCAAACCGCATTTATGTAATCGCTGTGCTCTCTCTATTCTACATCCCGCCTTGCCAACTATAATAAGTTCTACATCCTACGAAGCAATGCCGCGCTGTGCTAGCTTGCGAATTTCAGACACGGCTTCATGATATTCGAGCGTTCCAGAAAGCAGTTTTCTTAGTTAGTTTTAGTGATTACGCTTAATTTGTTCAAATCCTCGCGTGCCGGCGCTGGCAGGCCGATGCGTACATAAATCAATAGAGCAAGCAGCTCTAATGCTGTAAAATGCTCTAATGCTCACCGGCTGGCGAATGCGCAGTGACCGCGTACGTACAACGCTCGTTTGTCAAGCTCAGACGTGAGCGCATTACTAAATCTGCCGAGATGCCGCACCCAGTTTACAGATGCAGCTCATATAGTGGCGTCCTCACTTCACACATTACACAGCTACGGGAAAGCAAATGTGTATGTGTGGGGTGGGGGGGTGGACTGTTACTTGACGGCAGTCCAGTGACGGAGTTCAGATACAGGGGCGTCGTCCTGCTTTTAATTAGCCAACGACTCGCAATAAAATAATCAAGCAATCGATATGGTTACCTATAACGCTTTGCAGCGTACCTCGTTTATGTGTAATAGCTCTTAAAGCTGTATATATGCGGCATTGTGTGGTATCCCTCAAACACACAGACTGTTCGAATGCATTAATAGTAGCGGTAATCACGGTGGCAACACCAGAGTTGCAATTGCTATGACCTAGACGGCAATCCACGATATTTGTCAGACGCCATTGTTAATTAAAAGCGCACCACGCGTGCACCCAGGTATACTATTTGGCGGATGACACACACCGCGACTTCTGCGTACGTATATACCAGACGGTGTCGCCTGTGTATAAAGATCGGAAAACTTGTCTTCGCCGATATTGCCTAGCGAAAAAAATGTCACCCTTTCTTTCAAAGACGAAGCCCTATCTATACACGGTGACAGAATGTCGAGCATCTCAGCATTCCGGCTTCTACAAACGTTCACATGGCGGGTGGCTACGAGCACTATCAGGAGTGAATAATAAAGATTTCTATTATCTATTCTATAGATAATAATCTATAGGTCTCTATTATATTCACTCCTGATATTATACACCCACACAAGTGTCTCTTACCCGCTTTAGGCACTTTCTTCCACGAGTCGAAGGCTTGCACTTCAGCTTCGGGTGTCGTGATGCTGCAGCGAGATAGACGAATGAGAGATGGCACAAAGCTGGCGATATATTGAATGCACCACCTACGCTTTCACGTGATAATGCCTGCGATGGACGAGACCAACGATATTGCATCTCAACTATGCTTGTCGGGGGCGGAGCAGGTTGCCAACACAAAGCAGAACCGTTGCAAAATACATTCCGGCGCCATCCTGTCTATAGTTCTCAGATCCATATAACGGATAATTAATTAATAATTATTAATAATTAAGATAATAATAATAATAATAATAATGATAATAATAATAATTATTATTGATAATTATTAATTAAGTAATTATTAATTAAACGGGACAGTGTTAGAGATGAGTAAACGAGACCGAAACGTTTAGTATTTCTTAAGTCATCATGCTGACGAGAAAAAGCTGCTGATGCAGCGTAAAATGGAACAAGTTAATTTTTACAAGCGAAATGCAGAGCGGATGATCGCCTCCAACGAAACACAGCAGGGTAAGCACGGACAAAGAAAAATGTTGCCACGAATTTCAGACGATGCTTACATTAAATATGTGTGATGGTGAACACAGTCGATGATGATAATGGTAATGGCACGACTACGGTGAACACAGTGTTGCTAATGATGTGGGAGCAGTGATGAGGATGATTATGATGATGATGAAATTAATTTTTTATTATTACTATTTGTTTTTATTAATATTATTACTAAGATGATGTTGATGATGATACTGATGCTGATGCTGATGATGACGATGATGATGATGACGATGATGATGATGATCATGATGATGATGGTGATGACGCTGATGATGATGGTGGTGGTGATTAAATGTTATGAAAATGATCTCTGTGGTGATGACCGAGTACAAATGAGGCGGCGTGGTGTAGGCGCTTGGACTTACTTTCCATACACAGCCTTGGTGTACGAGCCGAGCTCACTTTCAAAGCTTAGCTGCTGGAAGCATCTATTGCTCTTCATGGAGAGCCGCCTAACTCGACTCTGATTCCGGAGCAATTGTTTCTACAGTAACGAAATTCGCACTATATTATCAAACCACAACTCACCCGAGGGTGTCCTGCTAAAACGGTGTATTTGTATAATTAAAAGGCAGTTCGTATTATGTGTACGCAAGCTGGCGATCAAATAAGCAGTGATATTCTGGTAGCCCTGAGATATCTATGTGCGCAGTCCTCCGTTAGTGATACCCTTCCAATATAAAACCAGCCGTTTTATAATGCCAACGTAAAGGCTATAGGCTTGTGGTGAAGGAGGGGTGGGGTGGCAGTTGAAGACCAGAGCGGATAGATGCATGCATGTGTGCATCGTACCTCCATAATGACGACTCTGCAGGCAGTTCTCATACGGGTCTTCGGGTCGAATTGGTTGGATAACATCACCCGAAATCCGGCATCGTGAAAGGAAAGCCTTTGCAAGAAAGTAAAATAAGGAATATTAATAAATTACACAATTACAATGATATAATGTACTCTTATATAAAATTAAAAAAGGACAATCAATATGTTTTGAAAAGAAAGCAGGTTGAAAGTACGCGAATAACAACGTGTGTATACAAGTATATATATATATAGATATAGATATAGATATATATATATATATATATCCAATATACATAATCACTATAAGCACTAAGGAAACGACGTGTGATTTATACCGCCTGGGCGAGTCTCGTATATGCTCGTCGATCGGTACGGTTGCAGCCTGTCCGTTTGGTTCGGCATTTTCCGCCATACTCTCGGGCTTTTCCGTGACCGGCGACATTAGGCCGTCAATCTTCAACATGGGAATGTTGTTCGCGCCGCTACTGACCGGCTGTGGAGACAAATCCGGCTCGTTGGCGAACGGAGCTGCAACATAACAATATAACTAATAATATAACGGTGTGTGGTCCGTCAAAGTACGTGGGCGTTCATGCAAGAGTGGGTGCAATGTGGCGGTGCAGCAACACCGTCACAACGATACGAAACAGTGCCCGCGCGTCGCATGGCAAAATCATGAGCCTTGTACAATCAAAATCTTCTCGAAACATACACACAAAACAATTTTCTTGTAGCAACTATTTCGCTAAGCAAAACGCGCGTCCTTTAAAATTCAAACGTATTCCGTCATGTTTCATTATTTCCGTCTCCGAAGTGAAAATCATGTTAGAGATATTTTGAAAAAAACGAAAAACAAATTTATTGTGTTTTGAGGCGGTTAATCGATAAAATTTAGCAGCAGTCAGCAATCACACGATATTATTTCATTTTATGAAACGACGTTTAAACAGGATCGAACGAAGAAGACGTGTACTCAGAAATACCGCCGAATTGATCTATCGAGAAACCTCTGAGTATATACGTATCGCGTTTGGCTCTTTAAACATGGACGCCTGAGCAATATTGCCGAGCATGTCGGCTTCTATACCGAGTCAATCTGCTCCCGGCATATGACATTCTAAAGCTACGTTTACACTATCAATTTTTGTCAGCAAATCGTACCGATTTCAAGTGCATTCCAACACAATCGGCTGAAATACGATTGTATTGGAGTCGGAGTCGGGCCGAGTTGGAGAAATAGAACACGTTCTATTTCTCCAACTCGGCGACTTGACTCCGACTCCGACTCCGACTCCAACCCAATCGAATTTCTTGGAATGCACTTTGGTCAAGTTGGGGGCAAGTTGGAATGCACTTGAAATCGGGACGATTTGCTGACAAAAATCTATAGTGTAAACGCAACTTAACGCAACCACTGATTTCTCAGCGACGTCCACCTAGCAACTCAGCAAGCAACCTAGCAAGCATGCTCGGGCATCTCATACCGATAATTGCGAAACTTGCCAACTTCATATTATATAAAGAGGCGAAAAATGGCGCGCGTATTAGGCCGGCGGCTAGGCAGCACGCTGTGCGGACTCATCTAATGAGAGCTAACGCTCAGTGTGCGCCGTCGCTGCTGCTGCCTGTTCACCGCCAATCGATACGCCGCCCGTATTTTCGCTACAGCCTTCCGACGGCAAGAAATCCGCCGCACGCGGACGCCGCGCTGGTGGCGCGCCTGGTGGCGAGGAGGGCGCTCTGCGATGCCGATGGTTCCAATGGTGCGAAACGTGTTTGCGAAAGTGAAATTACTGCCCGATATCATTTCTTCATGTCGCGTCGGCGCGCGACGAGAGCGAAATGAAACGAATTTGACCGAAGTTCACGACCCAGCGATATTTTTCCAAAGAGCACATTGTCGGCGCTCGTACTATTTCATCCGACCGAAATCATATATCGATTGCGTTGGTTGGTTTCCGCTGGTGCCAAGACGCTGCGGTCTTGCAGTTACTGTATTGGCGATGTGGTTACATTAATCCTCTACTCAGTCAGTACTTTCTGATTATATTGAGTTGAGCGTATTTAACATTTAGCATCCCAAAAAACATACATCGCGCTTTCATGTCTGCTGGGTATAGGAGCAGTACCGTCGACATATAGACGAATAAAGCTTTCATCAACATCTCCACGTACATTTTCACATACGTCACCGTAAATAGTAAAAAAAGAAAGAATATTTCCACTTTTTCACAAAATATAAGTAAATCTGTTCACATTTTATGGTTAAATTGCTGCATTATACTTCTTGTTTTACTATATTGTTCGATGTGAACATACACTCGAGACTCATACATAGCCCATATAGCAAGCAATTAATGTCAGGAACACAATATCAAATCGTCCAGGTTTTTTTGAATTTTAACTAGTTGAGAAACAATCTTATCAGGTAAGAATTTGACGATACGTTTAGTCCCGTTAGTTGATGTAAAACAATGGCAACAAAAATTTTACAAATTTTACCATAGAAAATTCGTGACGTAATCAATTTAACCGACAGCATTCATGCACACTGCCGTCGATATCGTGCACCGTTCTCTGTCACTAACACCACGTGCAACGAAGCATGCATGACACAGACTTAACGTACGTAACTTAACCGATTGTATCACAGCATGTCGATAGATAAAAGTATGTGAGAAGCAGGAGTACGTTCGTCGGCGCTTGAAAGAGTACGTTCGTCGGCGCTTGTAATTTCACGGCCAAGAAAACGCCTCGAAATTTGAGCAAATTGTATGCAATAAAACCTTTCGCAAGAGCATTCGACATGAAGATTAACGCGATACGTACAGAAAATTCACTTCAAGTACGCCAGGGTGGGGAGCAAAAGCTGATCAGGGTTCATCGTAGGGGAGATATTTTGCAATATATATTACAACAGCAATATAATTATAGTACCTATATATGTCAACGTAGGCATACAGGTTGTTTCCATACGTCACTATAGCCATTTCAACTAAACACTAGTTAATTAACTAAACTAAGCCCGGAATCCGTGATTTGGTTCTAATTCAATTCCAGTTCTTTCAGTCTTATCGACACAACTCCGTTGTTACTGCGGCCAATCTTTTCACCATTATTATCCTACGATAAGAATATGTAAACTCAGCCTACCGTACAAAGTTAAATTAAATTGCAGAATATAAGACACACTGTAAGAAATTCGAACGGATCTGGCTTTCTGTAGTATATGAGATTATATAACCGAGCACGTGAAGGAATCATGCAGCAATTATTACGCGGCAATGCGCGCGTTTTTTAATGTAACATCGTATCGCGTGTAAATTAACGCTGATGGCTTGTGCCCACGCATTCGCATCTACAAATAATGTGTGTGCACGCTCGTGTGTGTGCGCGCGTGCGTGCGTTGTGTGTGTGTGTGTGTGTGTGTGTGTGTGTTTGTGTGGGCGTGTGCGTGTACGCGTGCGTGTGCACGTGTATGGCAGGCGAGATGGGACACAAATGGTATTTAGTGTCTATCATTAAATCATTTAGTATTTGTCAATAATTCCATGCCTATGATTGGCTGAGAAAAAAATAAGTTGTATCTGATTGGTTGATTTAATGACTGTCACTAAATGGAATATATGATAGTCACTAAATAGAATATATGATAGACATCAATTCGAATTTGTGACTGTCACTAAATACCATTTGTGTCTATCATTAAATCATTTAGTGTTTGTCAATAATTCCATGCCCATGATTGGCTGAGAACAAATAAGTTGTATCTGATTGGTTGATTTAATGACTGTCACTAAATGGAATATATGATAGTCACTAAATAGAATATATGATAGACATTAATTCGAATTTGTGACTGTCACTAAATACCATTTGTGTCCCACCTCGCCTGCCATACACGTGCACCATGCAAAAGAACCGCGAACCGCGGTAGGAATGCGCCGGTGCAGTCGAATGCCCAACAGCTTTTTCTTATTAACAATGGATGCGCATGCGCGTGCTGTGACGACGTCGCACAGCCAGCGTTTGCGCATGCGCCGTCATCGTGCTGTGGTGTAGCGTAGCAGACGCCTCGTGGATTGACGCCCCGTGTGTAAGCGTGTAACACCCGCCTGTGTCGGGTCGTGAGAACCCTCGCGTGTGATCAGCTATCGCATCACGACGTATTTATTGCCCGCGAAGACACGTGATCTTGCGGCCCGAAGACACGTCATTTCGCGGCCGGAATATAATTTCGACGGTAGCGAGCCGTCTTCTACCGCCGGAAGTCGCGAGAACGAACCCCTTCCCGCACATTCCGAGCCCGTGACGTCATGCTCGCATCGGGGCGGCGACGACGACGACGATGACGATGACGGTCGGCGAGATCGTGACGGCGTTCACGAGCAGCACGACGGCACACGGCGTGAAGCGCGCGTGCGGTTCGCGCTCGCTGCCGGCGCGCGCCGCCTGGGCCGCCATCACGCTCTGCGCGCTCGCCTTCCTCGCGTACCAGCACTCGCTCGTGCTGCGGCGCTACTTCTCCTACCCGGTGACCGTCAAAGTCGAGATGGGCTACAGTCGGCTGCCGTTTCCCGCCGTCACCATCTGCAATAAGAACCCGGTGCGCATGAGTCGTCTGCCGTCGCACGTCGTTGACTTGGTGACGAGCGGGGCTACGGCAACGTGCTGCAAACGCAA